TCTTGTCATATTGTGACGCACTCTTGTCATATTGTGACCCTCTCTTGTCATGTTGTGATGCTCTCTTGTCATATTGTGACGCACTCTCTTGTCATACTGTGACGCACTCTCTTGTCATTTTGTGACGTACTGTCTTGTCATATTGTGACGCACTCTCTTGTCATGTTGTGACGCACTCTTGTCATATTGTGACGCTCTCTTGTCATTTTGTGACGCACTCTTGCCATATTGTGACGCACTCTCTTGTCATATTGTGACATACTCTTGTCATATTGTGACGCACTCTCTTGTCATATTGTGACGTACACTCTTGTCATATTGTGACGTACACTCTTGTCATATTGTGACGCACTCTTTCTCTCACTAACGTTTGTGTTGCTCTCCATCAGGAATGTGGCGTTATAATAACGTATATTAAACACTAAATGTTCAAAGTAATCTATTAGACGTTTAAGTGTACGTTTATCTGAACGTTGCTTCAACGTTATCTGCGCGTTATCTGTGATCTCATGCTTGCCGTGGTCCTCCCTAACAATTTAGGGCTTAGGGCCGAGGGCTGCTCTAGGAGCATAGCATAGTCCACTATAGCTTCCATATGTCTGCTTTTCGGTCTCCATTCCGGACCCCGAATCAGACAGCTACATGCGCCTGGTCTTTATTCTATCAACTCTTGCCCTACTCTCAGGAGACTATAAAGTCGGCCAGGAGGTTCTGACTAGTCGCTGATTGCGATCAGTTGGCCAACTGACCCAGAATAACTCTAACGCGAACATAGCAAGTCTGGGGCAGAGGCTGAAGCACACCCCGAATTTTGTTAGGGATTGGGTCCGAGTAAAGCTTAATCATAACTGTGAAAAGAAGAAAGTAAATAAAATTAAAGGGTAATCTTTATACATTTTTATACACAATACATTCGTATGCACCGCAGTCTTTGAATGCAATTAAAGAAGCCGAACCTGGCAGAAGCCAGGTTCGATTGATGGAAAAAATCGGCATGGAGTCATCTCTGAAGAACTGATACCTACATCTTAATATTTATCATCGTGATGAAAGGTCTTTTAGATTTCTGGTCTGATTATATTATAAGGGAGCATTGCGATTAACTCTGCCTTGAAATTGTAATATAAAATTTGTAAGCCCATTATTGATATATTTTATACTTTATATGTAACAACTGTTCCTAATTTTTTTAAGGGCGAAACGATCCCTAAGTTCGTGGTTGAAATCCACGTATTGCCGTGGGACGCGCACCCCCCCAGCCTGGGGACCCCAGCGCCCCCCCAATTGTTATATGGCCATACGGGTCGAAATTCACAGTGGTCAAGTAATTTCTTCCAAACTACTGACTCGATTCGAAAAAAATTTTGAATTTACAGTCCTTATACCGTAAGGTAATGTTTAGCTCGTAAAAATTTTTTTTATTGTGCCTTCATTCGCGAGTTTTTCATTTCACCTTCATTCGTGATTTAAACAGCAATACGTGCTTATATACGCAGTAATCAAGAAATTTTTTCCAAACTACTGAACAGATTTGAACGAAACTAATTTAAATACCTAACCTCAGCAATGGTGATGTTCAAAATTTTTTCGTTTTGCCTTCGTTTGCGAGTAATACGGCTATACGTATAAAGCTCTTGGTTAAACCGGCCGGTAGAAAAGCTGGTCGTTCCTCCTATCTGTATAACTCGCGAACGAAGGCAAAAAAGAAAAATTGTCACGAGCTAAACATCACCGTTGATAGGTTAGGTACTTATATACAGGGTGCGCCACAGAAACTTACTTATTTGAAAAAATTCCTGTGCGATTAGTTGGTCAGGTAGAGGGGCGAAAGGGGGTGCATCTGGAGGAGAAAGTTCCCAAGTTTGTTTCTCAAAGTTTTTCAAATAAATTTGCTGTAGTGCAAGAATTAACTGAACGTGATTTTGTTGCCCCTCAAAATGCATGTAAAATGCTGGTTGACAACCTGCCTGAAGACGCGGTCGTTTTTTTCAGTGGCGAAGCTCACTTCCACATTTCCGGCTGCGTTAACAAGCTAAACATGCGTTATTGGTGTGGTGTAAATCCACGTGAGTTTCACCAGAAGCCACTTAACTGTGAGCGAGTTACTGTCTGGTGTGCGACGACGGTAATGGGAATAATTGGTCCTTATTTTTTTAAGAAAACGAACACGCAGATACCGTTAATGGAGCTCGTTACAGGAACATGATCGAGGAACTTTTTCTTCCAAGACTCGAAGAAATGAACTTTAGGAACGTGTGGTTTCAGCAAGATGGAGCCACAGCACACACAGCACGAGACTCGATGAATTTGTTGCGACATTTCCCCGACCGCCTCATCTCTCTCAGAGGCGATCTCCAATGGCCGCCACGCTCTCCAGGTTTGACTCCATGCGATTTCTTTTTATGAGGATATTTGAAATTTCTGGTTTATGTCGATCGACCACGGACCATAGCACACCTCAAGAACAACATTCGCGACGTCATTGCCAAAATACCGATTGATATGCTGCATAGAGTGGAAACCATTATGAAAAAAGCGACTTCATTAGTTTATGCGCAATGGAGGCCGTCATTTATGAGATTTAATTTTCAAAACTGTATGAAAAAAAGTTGGGATAATGTTTTCTCGAATAAAAAAAAATTTAAAACAATAACTGAAGTACTTTTGTTTTTATTAACCTTTCAAATAAGTAAGTTTCTGTGGCGCACCCTGTACAAAGTTTAGTTGAAATCTGTTTCTGCGTTACTCACGAATGAAAGTGAAATTAAAAAAATTACGAGCTAAACATTACCGTTAGGTTCTGATGAATACGTGTTCCAAGTTTCACAGAGCTGCGTTCATTAGTTTGGGAGATATTACTTGATAATTGAATTTGAGATTGGACATGAGACCGGCCACGAATCCGGCCTTAAATTCGCCCGCGACGTCCTAGGTTTCTAGTGCTGAAACAGTTAAAACAGCTTAAAAACATATTGGTTCATAAAATTGGGTTCTATTTGTGAAATACACATTTGTGTTTAACCTTTATCTTTTAAAATTGCAGTGTACTAAATTTCAGGAAAGAGGCGTATGTCTGTGGGGGGCGCTAGAAATTCACTAGGGAGCCAAAGGGGGCGCCAGCCAAAAAAAATTTGGGAACCACTGATTTAGCTATTAGAATTATAGGCACTTAAGAAGTTTGAAAAACTGCATATAGCATAGAATTCTCATCACCTGATTTTTGGTATTAGTACATACGTGCACATTATAAAATTTACTTAATTTAAATACCGACGAACGTGTTTTTCTTGGGAGGAACAATAATGCTTAAAACATAATAACATATAATTAATCGAAGTAATGCGAAGTCGAGGCAGCGGGTTGGGTGCCAGGCTTCAGTCGAGGCAGCCAGCATCTTACCGCACCACACAACACAGCTGTAACACGTTTCATTTTCGTATGCCTATATAGGTATGTCTCGTACTTGATACGAGGAGTGCAGCTGGCAAGTAGCCTCATTACCTTAGCATTAATAGACAAAAATTGACATATTTGGTTTGTATCATTTATTATAAGCGGTGCATTTAAGGGTTTTGAGATTGGCAGGTCCATGACTGTCAGTTTTGATCGCGTCTCTCTCTGGACACCCTTTATGTATACGTACATCGTTGGCGCTCGGAGTATGAACGCGTTCCAGAACAGACTAGATAAAGCCATGGAAAAATATATGTTCAGATTTGAAATGCCTAGCACCATAACGAACCCGGTGGAAGTATAGTAGCTAATTTAAGCTATCCTCAGTCTTGAAAAGATCCGGTCAAATGACACGATTTTAGATCTTCTGTGAACAAGTCACGAAAAGTACATGAATCGACGACTGGCCACATCAGGCCTACACTTCAGCGCCGACATCACTATGTTAAGTTATGTCGGCGCAGTTCCGCGTAGAGGGCTTTGAATCGTGTCTCTGCGAACCAATGTTTCTGTAGAATGGCAATTGATTTTGCTCCTGGTGACACTTAAAAGAGAAGGGGTTTGTCCTAAAGCTGCAGGACAAACTTGAGCGTCCTGCTCCGTCAACACAACTTCGGATTACGCAATTCCTGCGTCGCTAACTTCAGCCTTCAGAAAATCTGCCTTTAAAAATCAGAACCTTCAGATCAGAACCTTCTGCAAGCCTTTAAAAATCAGAAGTTTCAGCCTCAAAAATGCAAGCCTCAGAAATTTCTCCCAAAGCAATTGCCGCTGCAGTGTTTCTGCCATGACATTTTCTGCTGGCCTAGGTATCTATAAGATGGACAGGCAGGCCTAAGTATCTATAAGATGGACAGGCAGGCCTAAGTATCTATAAGACGGACAGGCAGGCCTAAGTATCTATAAGATGGACAGGCAGGCCTAAGTATCTATAAGATGGACAGGCAGGCCTAAGTATCTATAAGATGGACAGGCAGG